AAATTAAATTAATAAAATATTAATAATTACATGATCAAATCATATTTATTTAAAAAAATTACAGTAGCATTTGATAGAGTTTTAGAATTATGATTTGATAATAAAGTTATATTTTGAGTTTTTGAGTTTTGGAATTATCATTTGAATGTGAAAAATTTGTTTGGTTATAAGTTTTGAAAAGAGTTTTGAATTGAGTTTGAAATGAATTATGTGACATATGATATTTGATTAAAAAATTTACAACTTATAACCAAACACACAACTCAAAATTCTATTCAAAACTCATAAAAATTTAAAAATATTTCGAAAATATTTTTTTATTTAAAATATAAAAATAAGAGGTGCAAAAAAAAAAAAAACCGAATACTGTTCCGAACGACCAGAGGGACGTTCAAGGGATGATCAGGTAGACGTGTTTTGAAAAGTAAGCGTGGAATCAATTTTTGAATTCACTAACCAAATACAAAACTCAAAACAAGGGGTGAAACTAGAATTCTAGAGTTCTATCGAACAGAACCTACATTTCTTAATTTGGTTTGATTACGTGTTATCGATATCTAAACAATTTAATTTTTTTATTTTAGGTAAATAATTTATTCCACATATATCATAGGTATTTTAAAAAGACGGTTAAAAGTTAACTTTTTTATTTTTTAAAAAATATATATAAAAAATAAGATAATCCAAAATAAATTAAAAGTTAGGAAGTGATTTTAATTCACTTTTCAAAATAAGCCATCGTGGTAAACGGTACAAATTAGGTTGCCCAGAGTGGGTCCCATTCCCTCAGTTTCTATTGAAATTATCAATTTTTGACGTTGTTATTAGGGCCGTGCTAGGGAGCTCGAATCTGAGCTCCTCCGAATGCCCCGAATTCTATTTTATTTATTTATTTTTTCAGCAGAAGGAAGAAGAAGACGGAGGGGGAGGGGGACTGTAGGGGACCTAAAAAATGGGCTAGAGACGGAGGCGGGGGGCGCGGCGATCGGCGATGACAGAGGTGACAAGCAGAGGCGCGGCGATCGGCAACGGAGGCAGAGGCGCGGCGATCGGCGATGGTTCTGCGACGGATCGGAGACGACGGCAACGGCGACCTCTTTCTCTCACGCTCCCCTCTCTTCTCTTCCTCTCCCTCTTTCTCTTCCTCTCCCTCCCTCTCCCTCTCCCTCTCCCTCAGACTCGTTGAGAGAAGAAGAAGAAAAAGAAAAAAAAAAAAAATGCCCAAAACGACATCGTTTTGGGCTTCGAGGGATTAGGGGGGAAATTCGAGCGACGAAGCTTTATCCTTGTTATTATTAATGTCAAATTTTTGATAATACAAAATTTTGATGAATTGCTAAATTTTTAAAATAAGATATTATTGTGTCTGAAAAAATGTACAAATATTAGATTATTTGGGTTGGCATAAATTAAATAATACAAAAAGTCAAAAAGTTACTATCCTATTTAAGTCACATCATCTTATTTAAATCACATCACCTCTCTAACACATCACATCAAACTTAACCCAAACCCAACCCATATAAGCTAATAAGTTAAAAAGAGAATTTTTTTAGAACATCCAAAACCAAACAATTTCAAATTTTGACATTGTTATTATTAATGTCAAATTTGATACAAACTTTGATGAATTGTTAATTTGTAAAGATGAGATATTTTGGGTGTTTAGTGTGGCTTATTTTGGCCAATTTATAAATTTTAATTTTGAAAAAATTATTTTTGAATTATTTGGTTAAATTTATTTCAAATAATTTATAATTATAGCAACTTATTTTAATTTAAAAAAATTTATTCTGATAAGTTGCTCACCTCTTACTTTTTATTATCAATTTATGCTATATGTTGATTTACGATTATACCCTCAAAAAAAATTTTGGTGTAAAAAAAAAAAATTCAAATGGATTATGGATTATTATTATTTTTTATAGAAAAATGTGAACTAGTAGTGAATAATAAAAAATAAAAATTAATTTAATTTATAACTAACAAAGGTTAATTCAATTTACAATTAACAAGGGTAAAAATGACATTTAGACATTAAAAAGTAATTTCACAGCTTATTTACTAAATAAATCTATAATTACACTAAATAAATTAATCACTTCTTATTAAAATTATAATTTATAATCTGTTAACTTATAATTTTTAATATGTTTTAACAGCTACATAAAACACTCTATTATGTCAAAAAAAAATATACAAATATTTGATCGTGATTATCAAATTTTAATAATATTTTATTAGAACATCACCAAAATTTGATAATAACATGTCAAATTTGACAATTGACTGAGCAGTGTGCCCTATACGTACCCCCGTGATCAGAATGTTTATTCAAATTTCAAACCCTAATCAACAAAATCAGGAAAAAAAAGATGCTACCAAACGCTCCCTTATCGCACATGAATTACACTGCCAAATAGATTGTATTAAAAAATAGATAAATTTGTATTAAACGCCCCAGGTGCGTTTGGGGATAAAAAACAAAAACAAAAACAAACACAACAACATTTTGTACAGATAAAGTCGGAAAAGACCGTATTGGGATTGCGTACAGAATCTTTGTGCACCAACAGAGATTTTAAAATAATTAAAACCCAATAAAAAGCCTTAAAAATAACTTTATTTACGACTGCCAAACAGGCCTTTCACATTTTTTTATTTAAATAATTCTGTTTGTTTTGACATAAAATATTTATCACTAAAAAATATTTTCCATGTAATTAATTTTGAAAAAAACAAATTGTTTCTATTTTCGGTGTTTTATTGATACTTAAAACAAAAAAAAAAATATTTATTGACACTTAAAACAAAAACTTTTTATTGTATGCATGACATAAAAGTCGATGAAAAATCACTCTTTTACTTTTGGAAAAGATCAATGTGCTGAAATGACCAAGTTAATTGGTAATAAATTTTAAAAAAATTAATTTACAAATTTATTAATGCACTTTGGAAATTATGACAAAAATATTTTTTAAATACCTTTTGTTCAACTAAATAATAAAAAATGCGTAAAATATTTTTGAAGAAAGCATTTTGCATGAAACAAATAGAGTCAGTAGAAATTTACAAAAATAATAAATTACAAAAGTAGTTCCTAAATATATATTATGAATTTTATTTTGGTTCTTAATATTTGATTTGTATAATTTTTGTCCCCAACTTCACACATTAATCTAATTTATCTTAATTTTCATCTAAAAACATACGAAAAATACTTGATAAATTAAGTATTTGAAAGATATTAAGAAAAATTTAGAAGAAATATCAAAATGGTGGCTTTTGAAATTTTTTTTTACAAATAAACGGTAAGTTTTATAAATATTAATAATTAAAATTAAAAACTTTTCAATGATTCTATAATTATTTTTGAAAAGACAGACTGAAGTGTAATTTCTCCAAAAATTTATCTCATTTCTTACCTAAATAAACCACAAGACACACAAAATGCACATTTTTTACAAAATGGAACATATAAAAAAACAAAAAACGATTGAGAGTTCTAATTTTGGAACTCTAAGAAAAACTCTAATGGTAGAACTTACCATGTGATGTAATGTTTATATTTGATTGTTTGTGTTTTTATTTATTTATTTCTACGCCACATCACTATATCTCAAATTAAAATTCTAATTTTAGAGTTGTTAATCACTACTCATAAAAATAACATTACAAAAAAAAAAATACATATCATTTTTAATAATTTGGTGGATAATATTTGATATGAAAAGCCTGTTATGTTTTTTTTATGTCTTGTAATGCTTGATAAGAGGCTAAACTTACATATTTTTCGTCTATTCTTTAGACAACAATTACGAGATGAGATTATATTGAATTAATATGTAGAGATCTCAGACAATTTTTTAAGAGTTAATTGTATATAAGTTCTATTTACAAATATTATGATGACTCATGTCTTATTTAAGATTTTTTGAATTAACAAGTCCTATCGTTTGGCAATTATATGTTTTAGTCAAAAAGTTACTAAAATAATTTGTTTCCAAACAAAGCAAGTAAAAATGAAAAAATTATCATTTTTTATTTTTATTTTTTTTAGTTTTTAAAATTAAGAACATTATCAATTTTGTATAATAATGTTTCAAATAATTATTTTACTAACCGATAAAAAAAATAGAGTATGAGATTCAACTTTTTTATCATTTCATTTATTAGTTTGATTCAACTATCTAATAAAATCGAGAACATTATCACTTTTTTTCAGTTTTAAAACTGAGAACATCATCATTTTTTTTTTAATTTTTGAAGTTTTTTTTTTTGCACATCAATGTTCCATTATCATGCTCATTTATACATACAAAATTTTCAGTTTTGCAAAAAAAATAATTTAGTTTCTTTTTTGCAAATAATTTTTTTAATTTTTAGTTTTTTCAATTTAAAAGTTGATTTTTAAAGTTTTTAAAATCAAAATAAATATGAAATCATCATGTTCCTTTATAGATAATCATAAATGATGAACAATAATTGTTTAAAGGGAAATTCCGACTATTAAAAAATTTAATGAGACTTGAAAATTCACAAAAAACTTAGTTAGAACTTAATAAAGTATAAGTTGATAAATTAAAGACTTATATATAATTGCATCATTCTTTAATTGGTCATTCAAGGGACACTCAGATACTAAAGTGATTAAAATTTTAAATTTAAATTTCTAGAGACATATTAACATACGTTGTAATCTAATTATTAATATAGTAATTACTACTTCATGAAGGAAAAAATTTAATATATAGAGCTTAAGGTTGCAATTAAAAAAATTAATAATTAAAATGAAATTAATAGTATACATTTAAAGAACATTTGCATAATTGATCTAATTATTAAATATATATTTTTTTAGAAAGGAATTATTAAAAATTAATTTGGGTGGATGAAAGTTGTGAAACTCCGCGTTGGTCCCACAATAAATGGCTCCAAAACGGTACCTCTCTTTCTCTCTTCAGTGTTTAAAAGCCAGCTATAAAAAGCTCCAAAGTTGTTGCCTCTCTATCCCAACCAACCCATTAATCTCACTCACACATTCACACTTGCTATTACTACTCTGATACCCTGCATTTTCTTTCTCAAGAAAAGAAAAGAAAAAGAAAAAAAAACCAACTACAACACAACACACTGTTTTTCTCTCTCTCTCTCTCTCTCTCTCTCTGTTTCTGTCTCTGTGCATATCATTCTCTCTGTGAAAAATATAAAAAGTACGGAACAAAGTGGTAGGGTATAAGAGAGAGAGAAAAGACCATTGCTTTGTGAAGGTGTATTAGGAAGGGTTTAATGGAGATGGGCTTGAAGCTAGTAATGCTGAAACTGTTGGTTTTGGTGGTGGTATTGTGTTCTTGGGTTTCTTCTTGTACTGCCTCTGTTTCATATGACAGTAAGGCCATAGTCATTAATGGCCAACGAAGGATCCTTATTTCTGGATCCATTCACTACCCTCGTAGTACTCCTGAGGTATGTCTGTTTGTCAAATGTGCTTCATTCCTCTCTCTGATTTTCCCTCTTCTTTCTTTTTTCTCTTTCATTTTCTTTCTTGGAGTTGCTCAGAAAATGGGTTTGAAGCATATTAGCTTTTCACTTTATGGGTCTCTTTTCTCTCTCCAAAATGGGTTTAATTTTTTGTGGGTTTTTTCTCGGTTTGTTGCAGATGTGGCCAGATCTTATTCAAAAGGCAAAGGAAGGAGGTTTGGATGTAATCCAGACCTATGTTTTCTGGAATGGGCATGAACCCCAACCTGGCAAAGTAACAACCTAACCCTCTCTCTCTCTCTCTCTCTATCCAATGATGTGTATATATCTATTTATGTAAAACTGTTTTTGTTGTTTATGTTTGCAGTATTATTTTGAGGGGAGGTTTGATCTGGTCAATTTTATCAAGCTGGTGAAACAAGCAGGCCTTTATGTTCATCTTAGGATTGGTCCCTATGCTTGTGCTGAATGGAACTTTGGGTAATAAAAGCTTATGATTTCTATTAAAGCATTAAAACAATCTATATCTTAGCAAATATATATTGATTTTGAGCACTTCCTTTTTTTCGTTCAATTCAGGGGTTTTCCTGTTTGGCTCAAGTATGTTCCTGGTATCAGTTTCAGGACAGATAATGGGCCTTTCAAGGTTAGGCAACTTTGGCTCTTATCAACTTTCCATTTCCATCAACATCTTCTTTTTTCTTCTTTTTCTTTTTTTCCTATTCCTATTCCATTGATGTGATTTGGTGGTAAACATCAGCTTCGGTTTTGATGTCTAAATTGTTGTAATGAAGGCCGCAATGCAAAAATTTACCATGAAAATTGTCAATATGATGAAAGCCGAAAGGTTATACGAGTCTCAGGGTGGTCCAGTAATTTTATCTCAGGTAGTCAAACTAGACCATTCTATTATTTCCCATGTTTCAGTGAATTGCTTTATGTTTTGAGTAAAAGTAAAAAGCAAATTAACAATAGTATTATGCTGCTAAAAAATGTATGTGATAGATTGAGAATGAATATGGACCCATGGAGTACGAACTTGGTGCACCAGGTCAAGCATATGCCAAATGGGCAGCTCAAATGGCTGTGGGACTTGGCACGGGAGTCCCATGGGTCATGTGCAAGCAAGATGATGCCCCTGATCCCATTGTAAGTGTCAACTCTTGTTGCTAAAACTGTTTTTAACCTTTTCTTCCTGTGTTTTCATAGACATTATTGATGGTTTTCGTGTTATGTTCGCTTATGTTTGGTGGGGTGCTATGAAACAATGTGTTGTCCCTTTGTGTGGTCATGAATGATGTGAATTTTTATCTCCCCTGCACCACATGGCTGGGCCTTGTGCTCTGTCTTTATTTATTGTCCACCCTTTGTATTCATAGCCTGATACCGTATCTCACTTCTGTTTCAACTTATAATGATGTTTTCTATTTCTTTTCTATCTCACAGTTGCAAAAGTAATAATTTATCTATTGTGAATCAATTTACTTATTTAACTATTATTTTGTCTAAATCAAGAGGATCTTAATACCTACTGAAGTCATATCACGTCTTAGTTACATTTTGACATAGTTTTTTTTATCATGCACAGATTAATACTTGTAATGGCTTTTATTGTGACTATTTCTCACCGAATAAAGCTTACAAACCCAAGATGTGGACTGAAGCCTGGACTGGATGGTGATTACACACATGTCATCTGTGCTGTGCTTAATTTTCGTACTTTGTCATAAGAGAGTTGCAATGCATTTCTTAGCTAATCATTGCGCACTTCAATTATTCATGCAGGTTCACCGAGTTTGGAGGTGCAGTCCCTTATCGTCCTAGAATTGGTTGTTTTGGCATTTTCGGTTGCAAGGTTTATACAAAAAGGAGGATCTTTCATTAACTACTATATGGTAAGCGAATTGTTTGTCGTGTTACTTGAGTGAGTCCGATTCGTGTATTGATTTAACTAATTCTTTGTCATCCTTTTCTTTGTTTTTGTGCTTCCAGTATCATGGAGGAACAAATTTTGGCAGGACTTCTGGTGGTCCTTTTATTGCTACTAGCTATGATTATGATGCCCCTCTCGATGAATATGGTATGCAGATTAAGATCATCTTAGTTTGGTTATCTCCAAACTGGTTATGTGGCATGTAGCCTATTAACTTAAGTGATAAGGAATATATTAGTTGATATATTGTTATGTACTAAAATTTGAACCAAGAAAAAGGCGTGTGTTTTTAAGTTCGGATTTCCTACTGGAAGTAACTTATGCAATTGCCAGCCTGTCACACCATACACAAACTGCCACGGCAGTGTTATTGCTACTGTCATTTCACAAAAAGCCAGGGGGCAATTCGTAATTGAGCTGCGTTGTTTTTGAAGTAATTGTATACCCCTCCATATTTGTGACGTGGTTCATGTTAAGTGTTCACGATGGTGATCAAATTGATTGCAACATTCTGTTTGTAACATCTCTATTACTGTTTTGATCATGAAAAAAATGTCATTAATTTCCTGATATATGGAGGTGGGGATGGCTCAAGAAAGTCCATAATTATTTATTTATTTATTTACACTATCCATTTCAATGGTGGGTCCATCATATTCCCCACACCAAATGGACATTTTCTTTGGAAAATTTTTCTGTCATTATTACTGCAAATTTTAAATCTCCACCAAATGAAAATTTTCCCAATTTCTGCATTTCTTTATCATTACTTTGTTTCATGTCATGAACAAGGTCTGAATTTAAGTTTTTCAAGATAATATGTTCTTTGGAAAACTTAGGATAATTCCTCTCTCTGTCTAGGACTATTAAGGCAACCTAAATGGGGCCATTTGAAAGATCTACACAGAGCAATAAAGCTGTGTGAGCCAGCTTTAGTTTCTGGAGATCCCACTGTGTTTTCTCTTGGAAACAATCAGGAGGTTAGATAACATCAATTCTCTTTGAACCAATCATCGTATCTCCTGCTGATTTTGAAACTAAATTAGGCTCTTTCCTTTTCACTGCTCTTACAGGCTTATGTATTCAAAACAAAGTCCGGAGCTTGTGCTGCATTCCTCACAAACCACGACTCGAAATCCTTTGCAAAAGTGTCTTTTGCGAATTTGCATTACAACCTACCTCCTTGGTCCATCAGCATTCTTCCCGACTGCAAGAATACTGTTTATAACACTGCAAGGGTGAGAAAGGAACTCTTGGTTGTTTTGTATTCCCTCACTTTTATTGAAGGCTGTGTTTGGATCAAGTCAGGAAAAGGGAAGGGTCCACAAATCCCTCCTCAGTTCTTCCTGTATATATGTTGGGATTGATCAATTATTATTTCCCTATGTAATGTTTTCAGTAAACAAGATATTGACACCGAACTATAACTATGTACAGGTGGGAGCTCAAAGTGCACAAATGAAGATGACTCCTCTGTTTATGGTATCGGGTTCTCCTGGCAATCCTTCAACGAAGAGCCAGCCTCTTACAATGACAATTCGTTTACAACTGCTGGGTTGTTGGAGCAGATAAATACCACCAGGGATATGTCTGATTATCTGTGGTATATGACAGAGTGAGTCTATAATCCATATAACATTCCAGTGAAGAATTTTCCAACAAAAATATTTTTACACTTGACTAATCTCTGATCTGTGCTATTGATACGTTTTCAAATTTCCAGTGTCAAGATTGATCCATATGAAGGATTTTTGAAGAGTGGGAACTATCCTGTTCTTACGGTTTTGTCTGCTGGTCATGCTTTGCATGTTTTCATCAACGGTCAATTATCAGGTGAGCAGAAGCGTATGGAATGAACGGAAAACGCAAGGAAATACAAAAAACAATATAGAAAGAGAACACCTCTGAATTATTATTACTCAAAAACTACTGATTAGCCTCAGAGACTTACAACTTAATTTATGGCAAATGCAGACATTGCCTGGTGACCAAGCCACAATCCACACCCCAAATCAAGCCAAAATTACATAAAGTAAAAAACTGTCAAAAATAGCAGAAAATCACTTCTGATCACAAAAGCGAATTATTTTATTTTGAAAGCCGAATTGCTAATATAATTGTAGTATCTTGCTTTCAGTAGTTTCTTTCCTAGTCAAGAAAAATAAAGGTGGCAATATTTAACTTCATTAATCTGCATCACTTCTAAATTTTAGCCGCCTTGTAAATCTCTTTTGAAATTTTTGTGAGAACACAATAGATATCGTTCTTTCTCAATCTCGGTTCTAACCAAAAAGGACTACTCTATGCAACAAGGGGTTTGTTGTTGGCCCATTTTCTACGTATTTTCTTCTAATATTTTGTGTCCTATTTTTGGCAGGAACTGCCTATGGAAGTTTAGAAGACCCAAGATTAACATTCAATCAGGGTGTGAATCTGAGAGCTGGTGTAAACACGATTGCACTGCTAAGCATTGCTGTTGGTCTCCCGGTTCGTTCTCTCTCTCTCTCTCTTGTTTGACATACGTGTTTCATGGTAACCTAAAGTTGATTTTCTTGCTTCTTTGCTTCCTTTGTTCTGCGATCAGAATGTTGGACCACATTTTGAGACATGGAATGCGGGTGTTCTTGGCCCAGTTTCACTGAATGGTCTCAATGAGGGAAGCAGGGACTTATCATGGCAAAAATGGACTTACAAGGTTTGTCTTGAGACATTCTACAACCTGTCTCATTACTATGCATCCTAGGTAGTTTATTTAACCTTGTGTCCCTAATCAGATTGGTCTTAAAGGAGAAGCATTGAGTCTTCATTCGCTCAGTGGAAGCTCCTCTGTTGAATGGGCCCAAGGTTCTTTTGTGGCACAAAAACAGCCACTGACATGGTACAAGGTGAGTAATGCCTTTTACTTAGGCTTTGTTTGATTAGAAAGGAAAAAAGAATGGAAAGTGGAAGTTGTAGAAAGTGAAGTGAAAGAAAAGAACACAGAAAGGAGAAATATACTTTCTTGCTAGAATTTGATTAGCATGAAAACTCTGCAAGAAAGGCGGTGTTTGGCAACTAGATTTTTGGGTTTTTTTTTTTTGATTTTTTTCACTACAAGACAAATGTTTTACAAAACCCAAAAAAACCAATCCAAACAAAATATCACATCAAACCCTATAATCATCACTTTTTCTCTCACAAACATCACATCCAACCACAAAAAAACCCAACTATCTTCCCAAACATAAAAAAATTTCTCCAATAATATCCTACAACTAAAAAAACCTACAAAAAAATCCACTTCCCAAACACCCACAAAATAAGTGCGAAATTTGAAATTTTAATTAGAAGTAACCCTTTCATGGACAAATATAAATTTCTTGTGTTTTTGTGCGTATTTTGCAAGAAATTAAAAACATAGTTGTCATGCTGATATGGGTTGTACAGGAAAACTAACTTCGTAGTTTCTACCACTTTCATGCTAAACAAACTCAGAAAAGGTTACATTTTTTTCTTCTTTCTCCCTCACTTTCCACCACTTTAATCCTAATAAAACTTAGCCTTAGGCTACTAAAGCTAGAACTGACATTTCCTTGTGGTGCTTCCAGACTGCTTTCAATGCTCCTGTGGGAAATGAACCTTTGGCTTTGGATATGAATACCATGGGTAAAGGTAATGTATGGATAAACGGGAAAAGCATTGGACGCTACTGGCCTGGATACAAAGCAACTGGTTCTTGTAGTGCCTGTAATTATGCTGGTTGGTTTTATGAGAAGAAATGCCTAAGCAATTGTGGGGAGGCTTCCCAAAGATGGTGAGCTATAAAACAACTTTCTCTGGAACTTTATTCTCTGTAATGAAATAGTGATTGGTTGACTGACAAGTGGCTGATAATTTCAGGTATCACGTTCCCCGTTCCTGGCTGTATCCAACGGGGAATTTGTTGGTTGTGTTCGAAGAGTGGGGGGGAAATCCATATGGCATTTCTTTGGTGAAGAGACAAGTAGGAAGTGTGTGTGCGGATATTTTTGAGTGGCAGCCAACTCTAGTGAATTGGCAGTTGCAAGCCTCCGGTAAAGTCAATAGACCCCTGAGGCCTAAAGCCCATTTGTCTTGTTCGCCTGGTCAGAAGATCTCATCAATTAAATTTGCAAGCTTTGGAACACCAGAAGGGGTTTGTGGAAGTTTCCGTCAGGGGAGCTGTCATGCATTTCATTCTTATGATATCTTTGAAAAGGTAAGCAAATAGTTTGCAATAAATAAAGGATGTTATTGAGGTTGTGCCTTCTTTTTGGTTAGTTATTGAGTTTGTTTTGCTTAGTTTGTGACAATCCCAAAGGGTTAACCCTTAGTAGCAAGAAACTCCTGTTGGGGCCTCGCTCCTTGCTCTGGAACCCTGGCCCCCCTCCCACTCCCTATCTTGAACTCTTCTATGGTTTAACCAAAAGTAGGAAGTATGATATAATGGTTACTTGGTTATTTGAATTAACTTTCTGGTTTATCTAAGCCTTCCCAAATTTCTTTTTGTTCGCCTGCCTGCCTGCCTAACCAACAGAGGCAGTCCAATTGAAGGCTTTTCCAGAAAATGACTTGTATGTCTCATAGCCAACTGCAACGGACTTTTTATATTTTGTTGCTATTTAGACGGAACTCTGCACTTGCTTGAATTACAAGTAGGACATATTTAGCGGCCAAGGATCCTTTGTCTCCAAACATCCATGTCCCTTTGTCCCAATTCATATCATGTGAAAATCTCAAGATGTGAAAATTTAAAAACATATCTAATGGTTGTGAGTGATTTGGGAAAGGGGGACAGGGTTATTTGGAGATAGAGGATCTCTGGTCGTATCTAACTCAAGTTCTTATGTCACAAGGCACAAGTTTTAAGGACATTTACTTTCAAAGAATTTAATTAGCCTCTGTGTCTAATTTGTATTTCACCTTAGCAAGATCATTTACCCTTTTTTTTTTGCTTTGATTTTTTTTGCTGTTCCAGTTACTTAAGCATGAATCTTTTTTCTTGCAGTACTGCATTGGGCAACAATCATGCTCGGTACCTGTGGTACCTGAGGCGTTTGGAGGAGATCCGTGTCCAAGTGTCATGAAGAAACTCTCTGTGGAAGTCATTTGTAGTTGATGATGTCGCAGAACGTAGCATACATACAAGGTCCCAGTTTAGTTCTTCTACACGCTTCATACAAATTCTCAAATCATTTTACATTTTTGTTTTTCTGGTAACTTCGTTCATCAAAGATCATGGTGACCATTTGTTTTGGCTTTGCCAAGAGGTGAAGTTGTAGAAATATACGACACACCATTTGGTTCAAAGCCCATATAAATTCTGAAGATGATGTGCAAGTTTAATGTAGATAAAGTAGTTGTTGTCTTCAGAGGTTGGAGGTGCAGGGGGTTACAAGCACATTGAGACGTAGTAAATGTGTCCATGTGCTTATATTGTAATACATCATGTTTTTTTCGAACATGTAAGCTCTTGGCTTTCATTAATTTCATAGTTATTGTTCTCTATGTATATCTTCCTTTTCTTTGAAGCAATTGCTTTCATTGCTTTGTCATTGTAAGGCTTTCGAATGGTGTACTAATAGTATCAGGCTTGTCAAATTTTGTCTAAAATTGCAATTTTTGTGTCTTGCCCTTTGTATCTGAATTTCACAGTATCAGCAAAAGCTGCACCCTGGTGAAATAATATCGATATAGATATCACAACTTTTTCCCATTTTGAGGATTTGAATACTCATTAATATCAGAGTGTTTTTGAGTTCTTCTGTTTTAAGCATCTGTCTCTAAAAACTTATCAGTGTTGAATCTGAGTGAGTGAAAGAAATCATGTATGTTCTCTTTAGCCTCTACCCGGAGAAGCAGACATACTGAACAGCTAATGGCTGAGCCGTGGCCTCTAACGTATTGGGACATCCATTGACAGGAAAGGCCTAAAGCCAATCCAATGGAACATTAAAGCTTCATAGGGTCTTTCTGTCTAAGTGAAGATAGTGCATTTGAACATTCTCTTGACAACTGAGCATGAAAGGCCCAAGCCACCCCAAGGGAACATTAGCGATTTATAGGGTTTCTCTGTCAATGTCTAAGTAGTTTGTATCTTGACAGACATGTCTAATTCATCAAGTCTCTTTCTGAGACAATACCCAGATTGTTATGCCTTTTGTGCAGGTGCTCTAGAAATGAGGTAATAATGACAATAGCAAATCTATCATTTATAGTAGGGATCTTTCCGTGCTAATGTGAGGTTTTAGATTTGCATCTATGAAAAGGTATTGACTTGCGTTGTAATCTAATTGCTAACTCGCTACTATCCTACCATTTGCCCCAAAACAAAAAAATGGTTGGAATAGAATTGTGAGTAGTCCAAGTAAAAATTAATAATTGGACCTCTCTTCAGTTTGGACTAATTAATCTGGAAACTGTGATAGGGGTTGTGAGTTCCACGGCTCCTCTTCAATTATTGGACTCCACATTAGTAGAAAGAAGTGTAGCTCAAAAATTAACCTATAGGATTGGTTTGTTATGATACACTAGATTTGATTGATTTTCCTCTTACATCATCCAAAATAATTAGAAAATTACAAAATAGGGGTGGTATGCTTTGCAATAATAATTAAACTAAAATTTAGGTAGAAAGATTAGGTCCACGTTTGGAAAAGCTTTTTATTGTTTCTTTCAATCGGTTATTAAGCTAATCCAAACATTATCATATGAAGAAGAGTGATTAAACCTTATTTTATTAATTAATAAATAAAAGTTGAATATGAGTCTATGACCAAGTACACCTACTTGTTGCACATTGCTACACGACTTGTACATCATTGGAAGGGCGTTTGCAGCTTAGATGGTATATTTCAGTTGACAGAGCCTTTGAAGTTTGAACAGAGTCAAATATCTATATAATAAAACATAACGGTTTTCAAAAATATATAAAATATATCAGAGATACATTTTGGTTGAACGATTAAGATGAATCTTAAATTTATATTAATGGTTCAGATCAACAATAGTTCCGCCCAAACATTTCTCTCCTATGCTTCTCATCTACCCACGTCTCCTCATCTTCCCTCTCTATCTCTCTCACTTTCTCTGTTCTCACCTACGTCTCATCTCTATTCCCTCTTTATCTCTCCCTGCCTCTCTGTTCTTCTTCTTTCCTACCCTCCATCGTTGCTCCCTCCTGAAGCTGCTTTCCAGTCCTCGATTCCTGCCTCTCGAATTCGTCTCGCAAGGTAAGATTCTCTCTGTCGGACTATGTCTGTTTTTTAATCGAACCCTCCCTCTTCGCTCACCCCTGACGCTTCGAACTCGGCTCACAAGGTAAATCAACATAATCAAATAGGTTATTTTAGGGTTTTGTTTACGGGTTATATATTTGTAATTTCTACCAAATCTTGTGAACATATTTGTTCATGTTGTGGTTATCTTCCTCATAGAATGCTCTATTCCAAGCATAAATCGGGGTCTCTCACTCCACTGCAGCCAAGACAACAATACAAGTTGAAAATCTTTCTTCGTAAAGTCGATAGCTCCGAGGTGAAGGAGATTCCAAGATTCAAAGTGAAGAACCCTGTACGGGAAAGAAATAAACCTTCTCGTATAATCCTGTTGATCAAGTCTGCGCTCCTCCGTACGACGACGCTTTATTACCTGAAAAACACAAACGTGAGCTAGCCGGCGGGTGTGTGCCGAAAACCTCTCCGATGCCTAAGTCAGTAAGCTTGACAAATAGACAAAAGCTCTGTGTATTCAGAAAACAAAGTTGTGTTACCCCTCCAAAGGTGATGTTTGTGAGCTTTTATAGGTTTTGTGTGGCACAATCCTAGTAGGGCTTCTACTCCTCCATGCCGAGTCCTCCTAGGATTCATACTCTTGAAAGATAATGCTTATCATTCAACACCCCCCTCACTGCTTAAACCAAGTGAGATAGTTTTACCATGGCCGAACTCCAATATGACCGAAGTAATCATGGTTATGCTGAGCCGCTGAGTGGCCGAACTATCCTTAGTTCGGCTTTTCCTTTCGCTACACCTTATCTCGGTTCTCCCATGTACAAAGAAATGGCGTGGTTAGACTGAGCTGCCGAGTAGCAAGGTTCTGACCGTTCTATCCACAATACGCCATGACCGGGCTAACTCTGAGACCGGACTAACTTCAAAGTGTCTTTAGACCGGACTAACTTGAAAGTGTCTTTAGACCGGACTAACTTCAAGCCGAGCCAAAACCCTTTAGCTTTTTTAACCGAGCTAAAAACCCTCTAACCTATCCAACCGAGTTAAATTCACGCCGGGCTCTGGCTGTCCGGTCAAAACGTCTCTTCAATCACAGTAACTGAATCGCTTCTCCTTCCCAGGACACATGGCACGCCCTTACTGGCCTATCGCAGCTGTCACGCCGCCCTCGTACTTCGCACGATTTGAACAGTTCCCGCCTTTTTTTCCCTTCTCTTTTCACAGAACAACCCTTGGCTAGAGAATCACTTACGCCATTCATTCTTCAACTTCTCTCTCTGAACCTCCATTGCTTCTTCAACCTCTGAGCTTGTGTTCTCCATTGCTGCTGCTCTTATCTCTAGTTCTTGCCTCTTCATCTGGTTAGCACTGCACCTTGATCTTGCTTTCCTTGTTTTCGTGCTTTGTTTTGGGTGTTTTTTCAAAACACTTTTTCTTGCTCTATCATGCGTTTCTTAGGAAAAACTTCATAAGAACCTCATGAACTTCATGAAGTAATCCATAAAACAGTGTTTGATCCTTATAACCGAACTAGAAAGTAGTTTGTAGTCAATGTCCTTCTATCAGACTTTAACCGAACTAGCACTCTATGTTGGTACCAGTAGTTCCAATAAGTCAACCACTTTTTGATAGACCTTAGCCGAGATAAACGAGCCGAACTAAGTCCGAAGTAGCATATTGAAACCTTACCTTTCGACCGAGCTAGGACTTTGGGGCTAAGCCAGCTTTCTAAGTTTTAGACCGAACTCAGAAAGCTGCCCCTAGAGGCTCAACCAATCTGACTGAGCCTTTTATTTAACCGAGATAACGAATCGCTTGCCTAGACCGAGATATCGCACCCCCTGCTCAATTTGAGTTACTAAACATCTTGTTGAAACCGAGACAGAACCTGTAGCATCCACACAGCCGAAGTAGGACTCCTATTTTTGCTTTTATTTTGTAGCACGGTCCAATGATCTGTGCTTAACCCCTTTGTTTTCCACTTTGCAGACTTAGGTTGCCCAGGCACTCTATTGCGTGCCATACCGAGCTACTAAGCACAATTTTGCCACCGATCTAACTTATTCATAAATTATAAAATAAATGGGGAAGTATAGATTTTTAGTAAATACTCCGGGCGGTCTAGCCGAATTCCGAAAAGATTACAATATACCCGACGACGTCTACCTAATCTTAGCCGAAAAAAATGTCATACCTTGGGGAAACCAGGGCTTTGTACCTTTTACCCTTCTTTCAATAATAGAAACCGGGCTAAGATTTCCAGTCCAACCCCTTATTTGTGAATTCCTTAGGCAAACCAGACTATGCCCAACCCAGCTTTCCACCAACTCCTACCGTATAATAATGGGTATAGCCGAACTAAACCGCCAAGCAGGCATCAACCTCGGTCTAGCCGAAATCTTCCACCAGTATTCCATAGGTTCGAAGGAAGACGGCTGGGTGTACTATCTTAGAATACGCCGTCGACGTGAGAAAATAATAAAAAACACACCGGATAAAGACTTGAATGACGACGATTTTTTCTGGGTGTTTGGGAACTTTGAGGATCACCAAGCCCAGATTCCTGGCCGAAGCATTAATTAGAAAAAAGGAACACCTGGTATAATTACTTCGGTTTTCTTGCGTGCTTTACTATATTTCGGTTTTCAATTTTTCAGCTGAACTAACAGTTGTCTTCTTTCGTAGATTTTGCCCACCTCCAGTCTCTATACAGCTACCCAAATCTAGAGACCTTACGCGCCGCACTACGGTATCCAGAACGTAGTTGGGCCAAGCTGCTAAAGTTCGAACCGACCTATAGATACAGCGGCCGCCGAAAATGGAGAGTGACCGACTTTCTGCTAGAGAATGCCCCAGAACCGAACCCAACCTTGCCAGAAATTAGACTAATCCCACTGACCGCCGAAGAAGAAATGGCCAAGAGAAACAGAGTCAGGGCCCTCTTGACCGAAACCAACAGACCCGAAGTACCGCCACCGAGCCAAACCCAAGAGACCGTGGTGGCGCTGCCAACGCAACAACTTTCTTCATCTCGGTCAAAGAAGCGTGCCCGGACTAACCAACCCGAGCCACACTTAGTAGATGAGGATGAAACCATCCTTCCGCCGAGCCCCCCACCAAACCCACAACCGGAGCCATCTGACCGATCTGCCTCCAAGTGGGTTCCCAAGCTCACGTTTCAGTACCGAGATATCCAAGATACTGACTCGGTGATCGCTAAGAAGGATCACATACTGGCTTTCAACCTTGCCAAAAGTGTGTGCCTTCCAAAAGACATGGAGCACCACAATCAATTGAACACCGAGTTGAAGGCCATCCGATCTTCAACAAAGTCCATAATCCTGGTAGGCAATTCTCTTCTTTGCTTTTTCATCTTTATCATTTTTTCCATCTTTTAGTTTGGTTAAAAAAGAAAGTTTCTACACTATTGCAGGCCATTCAGAAAAACAACATCGCACACAAGCGAGTGTTGGAGCTCAGGAGAACTACAAGGGAGGCCATGACAGGAGCTGAAGCCAAGACCACCGAGCTCAAACAATCACAAGAAAAGATGGCCGAGCTGGAGGCTGAGGTAACTCGCTTAACCGGACTGGTTACCTCGGCTAACTCTGACAAACAAAGAGCTCTAACCGAAATGAAAGACAAGCATTTGTGGGAGCTCGCAAAGCTTGAAAGTACCAAAGACGCCGAAATAAATGATTTGAAGAAGAAGGCTGATGACGCCGAGCAAAAGGGCTACAAAGAAGGCGAGGCTGCTTATATCCAACAATGTGAGGCAGCAAAGGACTTATTTTTCAAGTGCGGCTGGAGAAGTGCTGTGGAGCAGCTCGGTTGTGGGTCCGAAACCGAGGTCTACAATGCTCCGCAGTATTTTATTCCGGCCTCACTAACTCAGTATGCTGCATCCGTTCAGCAGCAGTTCCTTGAGAGTTCTGACGACGATGAAGAAGAGCCAACTGATACCTCGGTCGGCAATGTTCCAACAAATCAATCAGCTCGGGCGGAGCACACGGTGGAAGACCTGATCAATGAGCAACCAACCGAGACCGTGCTTCCGACCGAGACCATACTTGCGACCGAGATCGGGCTCCAGCCAGAAACCGCGCTTCGGGATGATGGTGATGCCGGTCTGGATGCCGAGATAGATGATTTGTTCAACTGATTCCTGTATTTTTCTTTTGCCTTTTGTTTTGGAGTTGTAACCGGGCTGCGGCCCCTCCTGTGTATTTGCTCTTTGATGAATGAAAATTTTCTTGTTTTGAACTCTTACTTCGGTTGATCTGCACGTTTGTACTTGTAATGATTTTTCCATGATCTTTTCGCTTCGAACTGTTATCTCGGTTTAAATTCCTGTTTGAGCTTGCTTTCTAATAGTAGTGTGGCCGAGATACTTTATTCTAGTTTTAGCTAAGCAATCTGACTGAGTTTACTAGCCAACCACTCTTTAGCCGAAATACGTACTTCGGCTGAAGAGTACCAAGAGTGGTTTAATCCAGTCAACCTTTCTTCAGCCCATACCCTTACTTCGGCTGAAGAGTAATAAGAGTTTAATCCAGCCAACCACTCTTTTAACCGATGTCCTTACTTCGGCTAAAGAGTACTAAGAGTGGGTTTTAATCCAGCTAACCACTCTTCAGCCATACCTTTACTTCGGCTAAAGGGTAATAAGAGTTAGTTTTAGTCCAGCCAATCTCTAAGTTAGTTTTTCCAGCCAACTTAGAATAGAATGTTTGGTTATTCCGACCAAACGTCCTGCAGCTTGGATCCTTATCCTGGGCTTAGGAGGGGTGTTGGTTTAATCCAGCCAACCTCTAAGTTAGTTTTTTCCGGCCAACTTAGAATAGCATGTTTGGTTATTCCGACCAAACGTCCTGCAGCCCGGATCCTTATTCTGGGCTTAGGAGGGGTGTTGGTTTAATCCAGCCAACCTCTAAGTTAGTTTTTCCAGCCAACTTAGAATAGAATGTTTGGTTATTCCGACCAAACGTCCTGCAGCCTGGATCCTTATCCTGGGCTTAGGAAGGGTGTTGGTTTAATCCAGCCAACCTCTAAGTTAGTTTTTTCCAGCCAACTTAGAATAAAATGTTTGCTGTGTACCTAACTTTGCTAAACTAACTTTTACAGAGAACAACTATGCTAAAAAGAATCGATTTGTTTTATTGAGGAAATGAAGAAAAAAAATTACACATGTTTGAAAGAGAAAAGCTAAAAATAAAATAACTTGAGATTGGCGGTGTTCCATGGCCTGGGGATTGCTTTGTCGTCCTTATCTTCCAAGTGGTATGCCCCTTTGCCAGCTAATCCGACCACTTTGTAAGGTCCTTCCCAATTTGGCCCTAGCTTGCCATCTCCTGGTATCAAGGTGTTTCCTATCACTTTGCTTAGTACCCAATTTCCGATCTTGAATTGTCTTGGATGCACTGTTTTGTTGTATTTCCTGGATAACTCTTGTTGGTATGAGGCAATGTGAACCAGTGCTCTTTCTCTTCTTTCTTCCGCAAGGTCGAGCTCCAATGCTATGGCTTCTCCATTCAAGTCTGGATCAAAATTTTCGCTTTAAATTGTGGGGAGGCCAACTTCCAGTGGGATTACTGCTTCCATTCCGTAGGCTAAGGAGAATGGTGTTTCTCCTGTTGATCGTCGAGGTGTGGTGCGGTAAGCCCATAAAACATGAGGAAGTTCATCCGCCCACTTGCCTTTTGCTTTCTCTAACCTTTTCTTCAGTCCATCCAAGACAACCTTGTTTGATGCTTCTGCTTGGCCATTTGCTTGAGGATATGCTGGTCTAGAATTGTAGAACTCTATCTTGTATTCTTCACAAAAGCTTCTAAAGATTTTGCCACCAAACTGGGTACCGTTGTCTGATATGAGGGCTTTAGGTATGCCGAATCGAGTAATGATATTTTTCCAGACAAACTTCTTCACATCTCTTTCCTTGATTGATGCCAATGCTTCTGCTTCCACCCACTTTGTGAAGTAGTCTGTTGCTGCGAGAAAGAACTTCCTGTTGCCGGGTGCTGTTGGAAGTGGTCCTACTATGTCCAAGCCCCATAGTGCGAAAGGCCACGGGCTAGTTAATGGTAGGAGTTCTCTAGCTGGTTGATGTATTTGGTGTGCGAATTTTTGGCATTTCTCGCACTTCTTCACATATTTCTCTGAGTCTGCCTGCATGTATGGCCACCAGTATCCTTGTGAAATGGCCCTGTAAGCTAGCGATCTTCCTCCTTGATGGCTTCCACACAGCCCTTCGTGTATCTCGTATAAGAATGCTTCCACTTTGCTGGGGTAGACACACTTTAGATAGGGTCCTGAGAACGACTTTTTGTATAATGCCAAAGATGGGGAGAGCCAAAATCGCTGTGACTTTGCTCTAATTTTGTTGGCTTCTTTCTTTTCTTCAGGTAGGATGCCGTCTTTCAAGAATAGTATGATGGGATCCATCCATGAGGGGCCTAGATCAGCACAGCATACTTTTTCTGCTTCGGGGTCTTCGATGCTTGGTCTTGGTAAGTAGTCAATGAGCAATGGATGAGGGATGGATGTATCTGTCATTGAAGCAAAGCGGGCTAGTTCGTCTGCTCTGCCGTTCTTTTCCCTGCCTATCTGTTCTATCCTTACTACTTCAAATTTCTTGATCTCTGCTCTGACCAATTCTTGGTACTTGGCCATCCTATCATCCTTTACCTCATAGTCGCTAGAAATTTGGTTTACCACCAGCTGTGAGTCGCTGTAGACCATTAATTCGGTGGCCTTCATGTAGTATGCTGATTTGAGCCCTGCAAGAAGTGCTTCATACTCCGTTTCGTTGTTTGATGCTGGGAAGCCAAGGTTGATTGCTTGCTCCACAACCAAGCCATCTGGTGAGATAAGGACTATGCCAAGTCCTGCACTATGCCGGTTGGATGCTCCATCCACAAAGAGCTTCCACATCTCACCAACGAACAACTTCCAGCAAGTGGAGGGGTCGGATGATGTTGTGGGGTCAAGAATGTTGTCGGTGTTTTCTTCGAGGTCCATGCTTGCTGTCTGCCCCTTGCTATCTGATTGTACCAAGTCTTTATTTATTGATGAGTCTTGGTTTGGTGTAGCTTGGTTTGCTTCTTCCTTGCTGTCTTTAGTCTGGTCTGCCTTGGAGTCTGACTGAGCACTTTCTGCTAAGGGTTGTGCTATTCTGGCGTCAACTTCCATCCCTAGTTCGGTTGTGTCAGTTAGGTCGACTGGGCAGATATGATGACTTCCAGGAGTAAACTCTGCGACGAAGTTTGCCAAAGATTGGGCCTTTACTGCGGTTCTGGGCTGGAATTTGATGTCGAATTGTCCCAACTCTACTGCCCACTTCAAGATTCGCCCAGAAAAGTTTGCCCTCTCAAACAAAGCTTTTAGTGGGAAAGCTGTGAGGACGACTATGGTGTGGGTGTGAAAGTAGTGTGCCAATTTCCTGGAGGCCATCATTAAGGCCAATGCTAATTTTTCCAGTGGCAAGTACCTTGTTTCGGCTCCCAACAATGTCTTGTTGACATAAAAGATGGGCAGGTGTTGGATTCCTTCTGTACGAACCAACACTGCGCTAATTGCATGCTGAGAGACTGCCAGGTACAAGAAAAGTTCTTCTCCAGGTACTGGGATAACAAGCAGTGGTGGGGAAGACATATATTCCTTCAAGCTTTCCAGAGCTCGGTTGCATTCTTCGTCCCACTCGAACTTGTCTTTTAAAGCTTGAAAGAATGGTCGTAGTCTGTCTGATGACCGGCTTATGAACCGATTGAGTGCGGCTGCCATGCCGGTGAGATGTTGCACTTCTTTTACTGAGTTTGGTCTCTCCAAATCCTGGATTGCTTTGATCTGGGAGGGGTCTGCTTCTATCCCCCGGTTGGTCACAAGGAAGCCCAGGAATTTTCCAGATCTTACTCCGAATGCACACTTAGATGCATTGAGGCGCAACTTGTGCTTCTTCAGGATTTCAAACATCTCTCCTAGGTCCTTGAGATGGTCATTCTTATCCTTGCTTTTGACCACCATGTCGTCGATGTAAACCTCCATTGTTCTTCCTAACAATGGTTCAAACATCTTGGTGACCATTCGTTGGAATGTTGCCCCTGCGTTCTTCAGGCCAAAGGGCATGACCTTGTAACAGTATAGTCCTCTTGGAGTTGTAAAGGATGTGACCTCCTGGTCTGGTTCATGCATGGCGATTTGGTGGTAACCTCTGTATGCATCCAAAAAGCTAAGCCGGTTGTGCCCCGCCATTAGGTCTACCAGTTGATCTATCCGTGGTAGAGGAAAGCTGTCTTTTAGGCACGCCTTGTTGACTGTTTTATAGTCGACGCAGACATGCCATTTGCCATTCTTTTTTGGTACTACGACTGTGTTGGAGATCCATCTTGGGTAGTGCATTTCTCTAATTGCTCCTGCCTCCAGCAGGTTACCTACTTCTTCCGCCACTATCTCGGCATGGTGAAGTGCCGATCTGCGTGTGCGTTGGATGATTGGTCTGGCGGATGGGTGGACATTAAGTTAGTGACAGATGAAGTTTGGATCAATGCCTAGCATGTCGTAGGGTGTCCAGGCAAACACTTCGATGTTAGAGGTTAAGAATTCTAAGACCTCTAATCTCTCAGTGCTGGACAACGACGAACCAAGCAAAAAGAACTTATCCGGGTTCTTTTCATCTATTCTTACCTCTACCAAGTCCTCCACTGCTTTCTGATCAGCCGCTTTGCCGACATCTGCGAATAGCTCATTACTCTCAGGTTCCTCCACCGAATGAACGTATCCTTTGGCAGTGCGACTGCCATTCACCGTAACGAAGCATTGCTTCGACATGATCTGATCTCTATAGACTTCTTCAATTACCCCGGTATAGTTGGGGAACCGCATTACTTGGTGGTAGGATGACGCCACCGATCGCATGGCATGCAGCCATGTTCTATCCAAGATGATGTTGTAAGTGGAGGGGACCTTCAATACCCAGAACTCCACTTGTTTCTTCACGCTTCCTGCTCTGACTGGAAGAATTATTTTGCCGACGGGCCATTCTGGCATGGAGTTGAATCCAATTAGGGGAGATACGACTGGCGCCAAGTCTTTGTCTTGGAGCTTCAATTGTTTAAATGTTTCGTAGTACATGATTTCACATGAACTACCCTGGTCAATCAGAATCCGCTTGACGTCATAATTCTTGACGCGGAGAGTGACGACCAGGGCATCATTGTGAGGGCAATATATCCGTTCCAAGTCTTTATCCGAAAAAGACATGACGTTTGTGGCCTCTGTCTTCCACTTCTGGATGGCAGGTTGGGCACTTAGCACCTCTCTTAAGTGCTCAGCCTTTTTGATTGATCCCCTGAGCTCACATACACGCTCAGGTTCATAGACTCCGTGTATCACATTGATAACGCCTTGAGGTGGGGCGTCGATTGGCATTCCGTTGGGGTTATTATGGTCCTGGGGGGCTGGTTGCGTCCCTCCTTCAATGTACTTATCCAAGTGTCCTGCTGCCACCAGCTCCTTCAGGTACTGTCTCAATGGCGTGCAATTCTCAGTGCGGTGCCCCTTTTCTTTATGAAAGGTGCACCGTGATCTTTCGTCATAGTCCTTCTGCGCTTCCCCTAGTTTGGCTGGCCATCTGACGAAAGGCTCATCTCTTATTTCACTTAGAATTCGGTAGATCGGTTTCTTGAATACCGTGGTTATGGCCGTGCGGACCCTCAACCATCTTTTATCCGGGTCCTCTCCGTTGTCTCGCCTGCCACGTCCGTTCATGTTCTGTCGATCTACTGCATTGACCTTTGCTGAGGTCTTCTTTTCTGGTACTGTGGTTGTGCCAGATTTTATTTTGGCACGTGCGCCATCCTCTTCTACCCTAATGTGCTAATGCACTCTTTCTATCAAGGTTTCCATGGTGAGGGGTGGTGTCATGGTGATTGAGTCCCTGAGTCTATTCTCGACTGGAAGGCCTCTTTTGTATTGTGCAATGGCGAGATTGGTGGGGCAGTCGCCAATTTGGTTGAATGTCTCCCAGTAGCGACTATTATAGGACCTTAGTGTCTCTTTTTCATCCATGTCGATGGAGAGTAACTGGTCAATCTCCACCGGGGTTTTAGTGTTTGTTCTGAACCTTGTGACAAACGCCTCTGCCAATTGCGCCCATGAGGCTATACTGCCTTCTGGAAGTTTTTCAAACCAAGTCAAGCCTAGATCGCCAAGGCTTGACGGGAAGAGGATGCACATTAAAGCCTCGTTTCGTCGATATACCGCCATAACCTGGCGGAAGTGGCTTAGGTGAATGTAGGGGTCCGTCTTCCCCTCGTACGTAGTGAATTTGGGCTGAAGGAAGCCTGTAGGTAGGGGCGCGTTTTCGATTGCCGGAATGAACGGCGAGGTTTGCAGCCTTGCTAATGCTTTGTCCGTTGGTTCGTAGGCAGGGCATGGTAATGGCATTCCAACCTCGACGCTTCCATGCGATCGAGGAGCTAATTGTTGAAGGGCAGAAATTCTGCGAGGGTCGCGCGCCCTGGTGTCCTCCTTCCATCGTGCCTTTTCTTCTAGCATGACCTGCAAATCGAATGATCTTGGCAACTCCGTCTGTTTGGATGATGTTTGGTGCGAGTGTGAGGGTTGGTAGGTACTTCCCTCTGTGTAAGACCTCAATGATCTCGTTCTCTCAGACCTGGAGTAACGAGTTCTGGAGGTTCCAGACTGAGTATCGCCTGTCCTGAGGCTTCTACTTTCTGCTTGTGATGGCATTAAACGCCTTCCATGGTCTTCTGAGCGGCGAGGGGGCGTCTTGTTTTTGCGCCCCTTTCCTGTCGCCACTCTTTTTCCCTTTATCTAGCGCTTCAAGGCTTCCGTGTCGGCCGCCATCTTCTTTATTAATTCGTCTTGCTCCTTTACGCGGTCCTTCAGAACTTGAGGATCAATCCTCCGCCTTTGTCTGTCAGGACTTTGTGAATGAGAATGACGGGGGCTGTGAGTCTGCCTTCCCCTAGTATCTCTCCTGGGGTTATGTTGTTGGGACTCCAAGTCCGCCATGGGAGGGATAGAAAGTAATCCTTCACGCCTTGCACCCCCATCTGGTGTTTGCCCGTCGATGGCGGATTGTGGTAATTCTTCAATGTGTGCCATTGTTCCTAAAGAGGTAAAGCTTGATCAAGAGATTTTGTCCTGTCTGTTTTTCCCACAGACGGCGCCAGTTGTACGGGAAAGAAATAAACCTTCTCGTATAATCCTGTTGATCAAGTCTGCGCTCCTCCGTACGACGACGCTTTATTACCTGAAAAACACAAACGTGAGCTAGCCGGCGGGTGTGTGCCGGAAACCTCTCCGATGCCTAAGTCAGTAAGCTTGACAAATAGACAAAAGCTCTGTGTATTTAGAAAACAAAGTTGTGTTACCCCTCCAAAGGTGATGTTTGTGAGCTTTTATAGGTTTTGTGTGGCACAATCCTAGTAGGGCTTCTACTCCTCCATGCCGAGTCCTCCTAGGATTCATACTCCTGAAAGATAATGCTTATCCTTCAACACCCCCCTCACTGCTTAAACCAAGTGAGATGGTTTTACCATGGCCGAACTCCAATATGACCGAAGTAATCATGGTTATGCTGAGCCGCTGAGTGGCCGAACTATCCTTAGTTCGGCCCTTCCTTTCGCTACACCTTATCTTGGTTCTCCCATGTACAAAGAAATGGCGTGCTTAGACTGAGCTACCGAGTAGCAAGGTTCTGACCGTTCTAACCACAATACGCCATGACCGGGCTAACTCTGAGACCGGACTAACTTCAAAGTGTCTTTAGACCGGACTAACTTCAAAGTGTCTTTAGACCGGACTAACTTCAAGTCTCCTCCGGGCCGGACTAGCTTCGGGGCTTTTGGACCGGACTAACTTTACAGCCTTCTTACTTAGCCCTTTGTATTGCGGCCCATGACGGCCCATTATCCAGCTTGGCCCAATTTTCATATAAATTACCCTCTCAAACCCTAATCGTGAGTGAACTAAAACCTTAATTTCACTTAATTTTGAAGAATCCTTGACTACTACTAAATGTTTGATTGCTAATGAATAGAGTTTATTGATTCTAATTTCATGATTGGTATATATCAGCTCTCAAATTATATTCTTATATTCTTATTTTTTTTAATCCATAATGGTGGTTATCACTTGACTGGTGATGTTTTTGAGTTTGTTTCATGATTGCTCACGGTTGTTTTGATTCAAAAAAGAGTATAATGATTTTGTGTTTGATAGATTGGGTTAAATGTATAATGATTTCTTAATGGTAATTTTTTTTTTTCCAGTTCAATTCTCAACCTTAGAACTTTCTTTGTTTTTTTAGAAAATTTGTGTTAAAATGTTTGGTGCCACTTCTGCCAATAACTTATGAGATTTTGCTTAATTCTGTGGTATGTGTATTTTTATTTTTATTTTTTTTTTGTTCTAATTTTGTTTGCACATTATATCATTTAGTTTTCACTACTCATGGATTGCAATGTGCGACATGGAAATTGCTGTCATTGTTGTTATTATTATTGTTTTATTTCGTTTCAGGTGTTGTCTTTCAATCGCAATCTGAATTCTGCAAAGTTTCAATCAAGCATTTTTGGTACTGTTGTTCCTGGCAAGCCATCTTCCTTACAGTTGAGTAATCTACTGTTTCCTCTATGTGCAGTTGAGTAGTGTTTGCTTATATTGTTATGAACACAGAATGATTTGGTCCAAACCATACAGAAAATATATTGCTAGGAGTATGCAGCTTATTAAAGCAACTGCAATGCCTCCTACAGCTGTTCTTCAACCAACATCCCGTACTATTCTTTGTTTCAGTTGTTTATTGACTATGTATGTAATTTATTTTCCTTCGATAAAAATTTGACCTTGTAAGTAATTGTTGGTGTATGATCCATAGTATCCTTGCTAGATTAAGAAGTTATTTTGACTAACAAAACTGAACTCACTTGAATTGCTTACTTTTTCAGGTTTTGGTCGGATTCGAAGATTAGTATTACGGATAGCAACATCTAGGGATGACATGAATGTTGTAGCTGTCAATGATCCTTTTGTTGATGCTAAGTACATGGTAAGAAATTGTGCTTTACTTATATTTTCTTTGGGTTCCTCCCTTGACATCTTGATTTGTTTTACACGTAATGTATTTTCAGTAGTAACATAATCTCCTTCCAGTTGTTAGGTTGTAAGCTGAACTTAGCAGTTCTAACAAGCTTACACGTTGTTCTTGGTGTATGATTCCAAGCATCCTTGCTAGATTAAGAAGTTTTTTTAAAAGCTGAAGGATGAGAAATTGTTTGAGGAGGTTTTTTGGGTTCATTAAATCATTTGGAATTTTAAATTTTTTTTGAAGGATAAGGATGAGAAGTTGTTTGGGTAGACATAACTAATTAAGTTAAAAAACACAAATCCAATTAATGGTATCATCTCTCTCTTATTTTGGTTTCCATGAATGGGTGTTTTCTATAGGTTTATTTTCTCTGGTTTGTCTTTATTTGGGGTTTTATGAAATGGTTCTTTTAATGCCTTTGGTTCAATTTTAGGCAACATTTACTTTTGGTGCAATGTTTGGTTACTGAGAATTTAAAGAAAAAAAAGGGAAAGTAAACAAGTTACTATTGCCAATTTAGGTTTTGGGTAACAGTAGAAAGAATTTAATCACCGATATTCATAGTGATAAAGGCATTATAAGTTTGTATTTGTAGCTAAAGTTGTAATGTGATTGCATGTGCTTCAGTTTATTATAGTAAATAAATTATTAGATGTTATCAGTTGAAGTTTCTAGCGTATTTTTGTTGTTTTATTTTATTTTTTTAAAATTTTTTCCTTCAACTTTTTTTGTTTAACTGTTTCCTGAATTCTTCTTTCCTTTTTTTGGTTTATTTATCTGTTTGCTAACCACATGTTTCGTTGTTTCAAAGTAAGGTATTTGTGCATATTTGTGTATGAGAAATGTCCCATCCCAAATTTCTCTTAGGCGAATGATTAAAGGTAACCATAGAGGAGAAATTCTCTTAGGTGATCATAGAGGAGATATTATATAAATTTTTTTCCTTTCATTATTTTTTGAAAACCAAACAAAACACGAAGTAATTGTTACTAACAAGTTGTGATGAAATGTATATATCCGTTGTTACTATTAGATTGTTGCTGCCAATGATGTCATGATAATGCTAGCTGTTTGGTAGACCCAACTTAATGATGGCCGCACATGATATCGCACAAGACCACTTTGATTATGAGTCGAGGGATGTGGACATAGTAGCTTTCTTTGTACCATCTTGATTCAAATATCCCAACAACAAATTAGTTGTGGAGAAATTGTGTTGCAGGTTTGTTGACAATGATTGAGGCAAGTTTCATTAAGGAGCTGCAATCAATGATGGTGGTTGTGAATTTACAGTAGATTACTGCCTTTGACAAAGTTGAGACTTTTTATTGTTATTTTTTAATAATTTTTGGTGGTATTAATATATTGAGAACCATGAATTAGTAACCCATTAATGCAACCGGTGCAGTTGTTCTTAAACCATGGGTCTCCGATTAATGCCTATGTTTGGTTATATTTGGGTGGCAGTGGGCTGTCAAACGAAAAGTTTTTGCAACTTTTCTCTATCTCTCTCTCTCTCTCTCTCTGCTCAAATAAATTGTGCACAATTTTAGTTTGGGTATCATTTTAGTTTTCTCTTATTTTGAAGTTGTCCCTTAGCAATGATGCTTTTATTTTTAATTTTTGTGTCGATATGTTTACACTTTAGAGTCATAAAGTTTGTTAATAAAACCAAAATGTTTATGATCGAGTTACTTGCCGTACTTTAAATAGCTGATTAGAAAATGTTTATTTTTAAAATATACAATTAAACATATTTTCAAGTTTTAAAAATAAAAAAATAAATCTTTTCAAAATTAACCAGACCTTGATTCATATTTTGACTTCAAATTTTTAGCAATAAATTGGATAAATTATATTTTAACCCAATAATTTTATATTTAATTACATTTTGATTTCATCATTATTTGCATCGTGCCTTTAGGTACGGGCATACGCTTGTATATATATATATATATATTTAAAAAAAACCCTTATATTATTATTTGCATCGTGCCTTTAGGTACGGGCATACATTAGTACTATAAGATATAACCAAAGATATTTTTTATTATAACTAAATTAATGTCATAATTAATCACATTAAGTTATAACTAACACTACAATGTATATAATCAAGTTATAAGTAACACCAAAAGGTATTATACTTAGGGTTCGTTTGGCATGAAGGTTTGGGTTGGGTTGGGTTGGGGCTATTTTAATTACAAAAAGACAAAATAAATTTTTTTAGTCTAATAAGACAAAATGTCATATCCAAACCATAATTATTTCATTTTTTCTCTCACAAAAGTTAAAAAGTCAAAAAACACATCTCAAACGAGACTTTTTAACCCCAAAATAGTTAAAAAGCCAAAAAAAATCAATCCACATTCCGAACAAAAACTTAAAACACTTACCCAAAAAATAAGACTTGACTATGTCTATAGAATATTCTTTGTTGGTGAGAGTACACTTCACTTCAATGATCAATCCATCATTTTCCAATCTAGCTAAATATCTTCTCTTTTTCTTTTTCTCCCAAGTAAGAGATAATTTGTAAGGGTAAAAACTCTATTTCATACATAAAAAAAGTGTATATAATGATATGACAATGTCATATTTATAAATAAATTTATGTCCATAAGTATCTTGTATGGAAGTGAAAAGTTCTTAATAACTCACATTATTCTGTGTGAATTTTTGTTTCAGTAATGCTACAGGCCCCAAAGAGATGACCAAATGAATGACCAAAAATCTAATTGGACTGCCACCTAGGATTAGTGGGCCCTACCACTAAACAATTTATTCCTCTCACGTGATAGAAAGAAAGAAGCAGAAAAAACAAAAACAATAAGACACCAAACCCCTTCAACTCCTTCTAGACTTTCACTCCATTGAAACAAGCTTAATCATCACCGAAGAAAAAAAGCCTCCGTGGAAAGAAGCATACATAAAAAAAGTGTATATAATGATATGACAATGTCATATTTATAAATAAATTTATGTCCATAAGTATCTTGTATGGAAGTGAAAAGCTCATAATAACTCACATTATTCTGTATGAATTTTTGTTTATATTATTACTCTTTATGAGGACAATTAAGAATAGATAAAAAGTAGAATATATTATTGCAAAATGATGGAAATCTTGGGTAATGCAATATATATACATATATATTTCCTACCAAAAAAAAAAAGGAAAAAAAACACTTGCACTTCAACCTTTAAGTAATTATTTTTTATTAAGCCACCTATTTGTAGTTCCCTTAATTTATACATCACAGGATAATTTTGGATGACCCAATTCACACTCTCCGTGGCGTGTACTTTGATTTTTGAATTTAGTAGGTAAAATTATAATAAAGCCCTTCACACTTTGTTTAATTACCTCAATTGCCCCCATTAAACATTTACCCTTCTCATTTGTTTTTTTTTTTCCTTTCCTCCTAAGAATGTCAGTTTTGACATTTGAACAAAAACATGGATAACGAGAACAAAATTTGAAGTGTTTTTAGTAAAAAATAGACCTAACAGCGTTACCCATAATTTATAATAAGACCATCAATTGAATGTCACTTAGTCCCATAAAAATAAAAATAAAAATAAAAATAAAATATCTTAAGCTCCTAAATTTGATCATCAATTTAGAATAATAGTATTTGTTTTAGATTATGATCACTGTAATTATATGTCTTGTGCCCTAAAGACACTTATTAACAAAATCTTAATACTAGTATATTTCCAAAACTTTTGTTAACATGTGTGTTGAGGACACATATTAAGAAAGTATTAAATGAATACATTTACTCCTATTTGTATAGAAAATAACACAACATTAAAAGCTATCTTAATTGAAGATTTTTTTTGTATTTATAATGAGACCAAAACACCCTCTTTGCTTGGCACCATTCTCCTCCTTTATTTTTTATTGAACTTTTTTAATATGTTTTTTCTAAAAAAATTAAAACTTAGTTTGGTGATTTTTAAAAATCAAACACTTATTTTCATATGATTTTTTTTGGAAGATAAAATAATATTTAACCATTCAATCAAAAATATATTTATATTTAGTTTTGTCAAAAAAAATTATAATTTAAAAAAAAAATTAGATACAAACTCTAAAAATTTAATCAAATAAAAACATTTTACAACTAAAGTTTTATCAATAGTACATTTATAATTGTTGGTTGAGTTCTCACCATTAGAACATTCAAACAAAAATTTAAAAAATATATACAGAATATTTTTTATATTTATTTTTTTAATTACACATACATAGCCTCCGTTTGGGAAGTGGGTTAGCTTTTTGGCTTTTTTAGCTATTTGAGCCTGGGCTCAAAAGCTTAGTTTGGGAAAGATTTTTTAGCTTTTTAAACTTTTTTTTGTGAAAGAAGAGTGTAATGATTATGGATTGAATGTAATGTTTTGTCTGTTGTGGCTCAAATAGTCTATTCTGTCTTTTGTGGCTCAAAGAACCAAAAGAGCCCAAATGAGCTCTTCCCAAATGACACCTAGTAGTTAAAGAATTCTTGTCTTACAATAAGTTATGTCCATACGAATAAAAAATTAAGCCTGCGTTTGGTTGTGTTTTGTAAATGTGATTTGAGAGTATGAATTGTATTTTGAGTTTATGGGTTGTAGAATTATGATTTGAGTGTAGAAAATTTGTTTGGTTATGATTTTTAAATAGAGTTTTGAATTGTGTTTTGAAGATGTATTTAGAATTATGTTTTGGAAGTTTGATGTGACATGTGAAAGGTGAAAATTTGTTTGGTGATGTGTTTTGAAAGTAATTTTCAAAACTTAATTCAACCAATAATTTATCATCAAACACACAACTCATATATCGATATCGATATCTATATTTTTTATCAACAATAATAACCAAACTATTTTTAAAATACTGAAATTAAACATTGATTTTTTTTGTCAATTATTTTTTTTTAGTAATTTTTTTGAATAATTGTGATTTCGAAATAATTTTTTCATTTTAAAATAAACCGATGTCAATTTTTTCTGTCAATTAATTTTTCTATCAATTCATTTATAAAATACGTTTTTAATTTTTTTCTAACATTTTGTTAAAGTCAACAACTTTTGAAAATACATATTAATAAAGAAGGGATAAATATACTAACTTTCATATTTTAAAATACAAATCATAATATAAATCTTACAAAACATTATCAATTTATTTTTCATTTATTACATTTTTTGTAATTTAGTACAGATGTGTAACAGAAATGCACTCTATTATTGTCCACGAAGAGCTCATATATTTGTAGGAATTGACATACGAAATGATTATTATGCCCCTCTGGACTTAAATGAGAAGTGATGATATAAAACAAAATACAAAGGGTAAGATCGTAATTTCACTTACTTAATACATACTCCCTATTATATAATAGTTGTGTTCTAGCTGTGTTCTAACTGTGAGGGAAAGAAAAAGCAGAGGACGCATGTGATATTGATTTGAAAAAAGTAATAATATTATATTTAACAAATAAAAAG